CTCGAACATCTATGTTACTTAGTATTTCTTCTTGAACATATATTTCTCCAATCATTACTTCTACATCTATGTTTTCACGCTTTATTTGCTCATGTTGCCATGTTATTTTAGGTCTACACCAAATGAGGCTGTGAGGAGAACACAACAATTTTGAGATTCGAAATCGAACTGTCGGAGCGGCAAAAACTAGCTCCAACTCCTCGGAGCACACGGACAGGAGCCCGATCAAGCGAGACCTTTAGTTAGATGCTCAGCTCAACCACCATTGTCCATGGATGACACTGTCAATGCAGCTTCACTGCGTAACGTGCATGCTGGGTTGGATAAAAAGCTCATTGACCTAACTAGCACGGGAGGCGCGCTCCGCCGCGTGTTTTTTTTTTCCCGCTTGAACAGTAAAAGCAGCAGTAAGCAGCGTACACAGTAGTGAACAATGCATGGAGCAGTACGAACAATGTTTCTTACAATGGCGTCGTTAAAACAGTGTACAGGATGAACATTGTTTGCTACAGTGTCAGAGGCAGTCGAGGCCTCTGATTTATTCCTGCATGAGGGAGTGTCTTATTCGGTTGCTCATTTTAATGTGGCTATGGTTATATTCTTTTTTTTTTCAAAATCAAAATTAGCTGATTTCAAATAAATTTCAACTTCGGTTTTGTTTGTTAAGCTTGATTGGAATTGACTCTCAAATAATAATAATAATAATAATAATAATAATAATATAGAAGGCTATAATAAATAAGAATATATTAATTTTGAAGATAACTTGAAAAATATTTAATTGGCTTATTTATCCACCCTTGACGCGGCCGGCTTGCAGCTGCAGGTCAAGGCACCGCTGATGGTGCCTCCAACGGCTGCCGTCTCACGGTGAAAGAAGATGACCAAAACTAAAATAAAATTCCAAAAAACTGTGGTCATAACTCATACAGTAACGAAAAAGTTGACTATTACGCAACAATTTGACCGTTCAGATTTGTTCTCCATGGTCTCGTGATAAGTAAACTATACTATGGAGTACTATGTCCGTGAGAACGTAAAATACGCAACAATTTGACCGGCCAGTACGAAACGTATTTTAAATCTCCTCGGGTCAACACTAAACATGGTGCTTCATGGAAGCCTTGGATTTCTCAATAGCAGCTGCAGGCCGTTGCTTGCTTTTGCTTTTTCTATTTCATGGTAAGACGTCAGCCACTTTAGAAAATTTGCTCTCAGGTAGAGAAACTGAAGAAGTGGAAGAGGTGAAGGACTCGTCAGCTGATGCTGATGTCATCATCTGTTCTTCTGCAGCCAAAGCCAGTATATGTATGGGGTTCGGCTGGTGTGAAAACCAGCCGGATTTCACCGTGCGTGGCTGGTTTTCACTGTTTACTCTCTCACAAATTCCTCCAGATTCATTCAGATTTCTTCAGATTTCTCCAAATTCCTCCAAGCGAACAGGCCCTATGTAGAACTTTGATGTTGCCCCCAAAAAACGTAGAACTTTGATAATGTGAATTGGAATTGCATTTAGCTATGTAGTATATGTATGAGCATCGGTAAATTGGAGTTATTTTGTGATGCTACGAGTTTGGATATCCTACAAATATGAGTTAATTGTTGTGAGGTTACACGTTTGAAGCTTGCATCGATTTTTTTATTTTATTAGTTAAATTTGTTAACGGCATTAACTAATTTGTAATTAAGAGTAAGGGTGTTTTGGATTTGAAGCTCGGCTCTTGTGTGCTCCTGTTTCCATCAAACTAGGGTACATGATTATTGGTCTTCCGTAGATATCTAAACTCATGTATATATAATATATTTCTCGAACATCTATATTTCTCCAATAGTTACTTCTACATCTATGTTATCACACTTTATTTGCTCATGCTGTCGTGTTATTTTAGGTCATGTTTAGTGTGGCTCCCACACCGTGTGCAGCTCTGACACCGGAGTGGGCTGAGCCACACCAAATGAGACCTTAGTTAAAATATCTATGCATGCTTGGTGATATTCAGCTCAACCACCATTGTGATGACACTCTGCCAATGTAGCTTCACCGCATAATGTGACCTAATTCAGTGGCTCATTTTAAAGCTGCTTGGTTATATTCTTTTTCTTTCAAAATCAAAATTAGCTGATTTTTAAATAAATTTTAACTTCAGTTTTTGTCTGTTAAGCTTGATTGAAATTGACTCTTGAATAATAATATAGAAGGGTATAATAAATAAGGATATATATATATATATAATTCTGAAGAAAACTTTTAAAAATATTTAATTGGTTTATTATCCACCCTTGACGAGCCTGGCGTGCAGCTGAGAGGTGCATCGCTGATGGTGCCTCCAACGGCTGCCGTCTCACGCTAGAAGAAGATGACCAAAACGAAAATAAAATGCAAAAAAACGATGGTCGTAACTCATATACAGTAACGAAAAAAGACTAAGATCGGCCCAAACTCCATTCAGATTTGTTCTCCATGGTCTCGTAGTAAGTAAACTACTACGGAGTACTATGTCCGAAAGAAGGTAGTAAAAATACGCAACAATTTGACCGGCCAGTACGAAACGTATTCTTTAATCTCCTCTGGTCAACATGGTGCTTCATGGAATGGAAGCCTTGGATTTCTCAATAGAAGCTGCAGGCCGTTGCTTGCGTTGGTTTTTCTATTTCAAGGTAAGAGTAAGACGTCAGCTACCTCGTTAGCTGATGCTGGTGTCATTATTATGTTCTTCTGCAGCCAAAGCCAGTACAATGATTTAATCACAGGAAGATAAGTAGTACTACTAAATATAATGTACAATGATTAGCTAAATGCAATTGCCAGTACAATGATTTAATCACAGGAAGGATTTTCACAGATCAGATTAGCTGCATGCCGTTGGTTGGGGTGGGGGGTTTTTGCTATTTCAACCGGTAAGTACAGAGATTCCTTTCGTGCTAATCCTCTTGTCCACTCACAAGAACTGAAGCATGGTGTCATTATTATTTGTTCTTCCAAAGCCAAAGCCAGTACAATGATCTCTCCGTTAATCACAGGAAGATAAGTAGTACTACTAAATATAAATGAAGGATTCACAGATCAGATTAGCTGTATGCGGGGTTGGAAATCACGTGCCAGATGAACCTTTTGGGGCCTAAATCAAGATTAGAGATTCCTTTCGTGCCGAAAGTATATTATTTGTCCACTTCAAAAAAACCAAAGCATGAGTAGGCTTGAAACAACATGAACTGAGGTGACGCCGCCTTACCTTTCTTCTGATGGGTAGCTGGAATACACATTTTCTCTTGAGAGATAAATCTGGATTTGCTCCAGTTCCTGCCACATGCGTCCCGGCACTGACTGAGATCACGATCGGATTAATTAATAACAAAACAAATGTGCTGTCTACTCCTACAAGACAGAACAAAACAGTGCAGCTTCAGCTCTACGGAGTACTCATAGCCTGTTTGATTATTTAGTGGCTCCTAAAATTCACGTCACATTAAATATTTAGATACTAATAAAGATCATTAAATATAGATTAATTACAAAACTAATTACATAGATGGAGACTAATTTGCGAGATGATTTTTTTGACTAATTAGGTTTAAAAGATTCATCTCGTAAATTAGTTATAAATTATGTAATTAGTTTCGTAATTAATCTATATTTAATACTTATACATGTATCTAAATATTTAATGTGACAGGAATTTTAGAAGCACACGCTAGAAACCAGGGCTTTAATCCGTTCGGCTCCCTCTCCCGGTCTTAAAAATGCGTTGCTGCATCGACATTCTCGTGGACACGGAAGGGCTCTGATATGTTGGGTGTAAAAAATATCAGCAGCAGGGGCAACGTGTCTGTCCCGCGCCCACTACAATTTGCACATCTCGAGATGATGATGATCGTCCCGCCTCGTTTCATCAGCTCTGAAGTACACGAGGCAGGCATATACGAATACGGTAGCGATACGAATGCAACAGGCGAGTAGGGGGGTCGCTCAAGTGGTCAACGCAAGCCGGAAAGGAACAGCATCCGAAAAGGAGCAAGGGACCCCTAGAAACAACACTACATGCAAACGATCTGTTCGCTTGGTCGGTTTCAGCCAGAACTTATCAGTCAATCAATAGTATTTTTCTCCCGTAACAAATTAACACTGACCGAGTTTATAGCTGATCAGACCGAAACATCGGATGCCCGCCCGTCCGCTCGGCGTCGTCTGATCGTCTCCAGTCCCTCAGCGGTGTGTCGGTCCCTCACTTTTCCTCATGCCCATCTGTTCCGACCGCTACGTGGGAGCGGACTTGGCCGGGAAACACGCACCACCATGACCCGTTTCGTCGAGTCGTCGTCGACACCTTGCAAAAAAGCGCCACCGGCACGACGCGACCATTATCCAGTGGCCGTCGCAAAAATAGGTTATAATTCTCGCGGCGCAGTTTGGCTCTGTTCGGAACTTACGCGGTTACTGTTGATTTAGACTTAAAAAAAATAGGCCTGATCCCCGCATCCCGTCGCCGTCCCTGGCCATGTTTAGTTTCTACCGATTTCAAATTTTGAGGCCTGATCCCCGCATCCCGTCGCCGTCCCGCTTCGAAACCACGCAAAAATCAACGACTGCCTTAAAACTGACACCGTGCCATTCGGCCGGCCCAATTCGCGAACCAAACGCGCCCCGCTTCCCACGCAAAAATCACTCTCTGCCTGCACCCTGCGCGCCGGGCCGCCCCGCTCGCTCCCGCACCCACGCGCGGAAACAGCAGGGGGCAGACAGGGCCCCGCACCAAACGAAAACACCCACAAAAAAAAACCACCAAAAAAACACGCAGCCGAGACGAGACTCTCGTCACGAGAGGCACACGCACATCCCCAGTCCGTTCGCGGTCCGCGCTCTGCCGATTCGGATCCCCTTCCTCTCTTCCCCTTCCCCCCACTTCCCTTCTCCAACCCACCAGCCGCGGCGAGCCAGCGACGGCTCAGCCCCTGCCGCGACCCAAGCAAGCACTCCTCGTAGTGGGGGGAGCCAGAGCCAAATGGGGTACCTCTCCTGCCGCGCGGACTCGTCCGTGGCGACGTGCCGCTCCATCACGGCCATCTCGCCACACCCAATCTCGCGCCGCTCGGGGTCGTCCAGGCCTGCGCTGCCGCCGGCGCCGGCGGCCATCGAGCGCTTCGACTACGCGGAGCTAGAGGCGGCCACGTCCCACTTCGCGGATGCGGCGCTGCTGGGCCGGGGCAGCCACGGGGCCGTCTACAAGGCCGTGCTCCCCTCGGGCCGCGCCGTCGCCGTCAAGCGCCCCTCCCCGCGCCGCCACGAGGTGGACAACGAGATCCGCATCCTCTCCTCCGTCCGCGGGCCGCGCCTCGTCAACATCCTCGGCTTCTCCGACCCTGGCCCCAATAGCCCCGGCCACGCTCCGGCCGCGCGCCTCCTCGTCGTCGAGTACATGCCCAACGGCACGCTCTACGACCTGCTCCACTCCAGCCCGCGCCCGCCCGGGTGGCCGCGCCGCCTCCGCCTCGCGCTGCAGACGGCCAGGGCGCTGCGCGCGCTCCACGACGCCGACCCGCCCGTCATCCACCGCGACGTCAAGTCCGCCAACGTCCTGCTCGACGCCAACCTCGACGCACGCCTCGGCGACTTTGGCCTCGCCCTCCGCGTGCCCAAGGCCAATGCCAGCGCCGGCGCCGGCGCTGCTGCTGCCACCAAGCCGGTGCCCGCGGGCACGCTCGGCTACCTCGACCCGGCCTACGTCACGCCCGAGAGCCTCAGCACCAAGACGGACGTCTTCAGCTTCGGGATCCTGCTGCTGGAGATCATCAGCGGACGCAGGGCCATCGACGTCCAGCACTCGCCGCCGTCCGTCGTCGAGTGGGCCGTCCCGCTCCTGCGGAAAGGCAAGGTGGCCTCGCTGTTCGACCCGCGTGTGGCGCCGCCACGCGACCCGGCCACACGCAAGGACCTTGCCGCGCTGGCCGCTAGCTGTGTGCGCTCGTGCAGGGAGCGCCGCCCGTCCATGGCCGACATCGTCCAGCGTCTCGTGGTTCTCAGCAAAGCAGTGTCGGCCAAGGTGTGGAACGGGCTCGCCGATGGGCTTGCCGTGGTAGGGAACCCCTGCGCGGTTGTTGATGTTCACAAGACCATCTCGAAGCGAGCTGCTGCCAGCAACAGGGCTGAATCGGAGAGGGAGTCGACTTCAGCATTGGCGTTTGACGACGATGAAAAGGAGGAAGCAGACGCAGGGGCCTTGGAGGAGGATCAGGTGCCATTGGTTGGTGCCAAAAAGTCACCCCGTGCCACTGAAGAACGGGATAGTGTTATCTGAGGCAGGGGCTCGGGAGAGGAGAAATCTCTTGGACCTGATGGCTCGGATCGATGGTGTTGCCGGCCAAAGATTTGGCATTAGCAGAGCAAGAACAGTACGCGCTACTGGTGAGCTTATTGAAAAGGATGCAATGTTGCTCCTAAGGAGGAACCAGACGGTAAGACTTGTTGGATCTGAGGCACTGCCAAAATCCGAAAGGATTTCTCGTTTTGATGTGAAGATCAAACACAAAGTGGGTGAAGAGCAAGAGAAGCCAGGGAAAGTCCAAGAGAAAGCAGAGAATATCCAAGATAATACAAGTGGGGTTCAAGAAAGTTCCAAGGAAACATTAGGCAAAACAGGCAAATTGTTAGAGGCAACGGAGCCAAACCTCGACAAAGAAGAGAAGATTCAAGAAAAGGAAGAGCAAAACCTTGAAAAAGTGGAAAATGTTCAAGAGAATGAAGGCAAAATCCAATGCACGGCAGAGAAAATCCAGGAAAGTCAAGGAGGAACCCGAGACAAAGTAGAAAAGTTCATTTAAGAGTGAGGGGAGTTAAATTCATACAATGTTCTTGAGGTTGGCTTAATCAACTATCACCTGGCACCTTACGTCGAGCTCATGAGATACAAATCTCATTCCCCAGGTATCATCGTGGTAATTGGGGTTGTACCAGAAATATTCCCTGGTATTGATGATTGGCTGATACAGCCTTGAATTGAGATCCAAGCCAGCCGTTTGGAATGCCAGCAATGACAACAACTCCCCAGATATTGAATCTTGGTTCTAGGGTGATAGCCAAATGCAATGGCTTGCTTGTGATATCTCCTAGTGACCTAGTGTAGCTCTGAGATCGAAACAACAAAGAGCCGTAGATCTTCAGATTCAATTTAAGCAACTGGTGATCATTTCACTGCTTCAAACTGAATCAAGTGGTGCTTCAAAATGACGACTAGTTGAAGTAGATTGTTCGTTGTTGTAGTATTCTTTTGTTGATTATTTTTCCTGCCTGCATACAACAAGAAGCACAAGTGTGGAATTGTTTTGTATATATGTAGGCATGGTGGTAGCTGTAGTGGATGTTAACTTGTTAAGGAAAATTATTTTTGCATTTCCACCTTGGGAAGGTACATATAGTGGAGATGTTCTCATGCATTGACCATGTAGTGCTTGTGTTCTAGACTGCTAGTCCAGTGTCCAGATATGACTGCTTCATTTTATTTGTGTTGGACAAATCCTGGATAAATATAAGCATATGATATTTTGCAACTGTTCTATTATGATGTACTTGTTGGCACTGTTGTTTTGGAAAACTAGGTTCAATTTATTTGTGTTGGACAAATCTTGGATAAATATAAGGCATATGATATTTTGGATTATTCTATTATGATGTACTTGTTGGCAAAAACACTTTTGGAAAAATTAAATTTACAATGCTTTGTTGCTTCAAAAAAGGCTGATTGATGTGTCAAAGGTCGCAAGGTGTGATCTGCAGTTGCGCAGTCTCATCCTATTCTTGCATAGATTTCGACAGGGGCATAGGGCGTCTTCTCGTGCAGTACTTACTGGGGTGCATTCATTACTTAACATGTTCATCACATGAACTGTGCAGAGCAACTGAGATCAAACTCTTATAATCCGTATTTTTCAGCTTGTTTTTTCAGCCGAAACCATGTTTTTCTCTCACAACAAATCAGTCAGAACAGTATTTCGACTTATTTTTCCGGCAAAGCAAACAGAGCCACTGCCTCCGTTCGTCTGATTGGATCGCCCAACTGCCTGCTCCGTCCTGTGAGTTTAATGCATTCTTTTTAGTATGTCCCTCTGAGGTTTAAATCTGAAGATTTGAAAGAGAAAAAAAGGACAAGTGCTCACCAAACGGAAAATTCTAAGGAAAAATTATCAAAAACAGAGGGGTGGCTCCATAATCATTTGCTGATAAGAGGAAGAGGGAGCGAAAAATCAATATTGTTGGTTTGGGTTTTGTTGAGGATTCATATATATGCTGCAGATGATGCTGACACGATGAACAGTAATGCCAATCACGTGGCATTAGTTTTCCTAGTTTGATTTGTCACTGTACATCAACATCACGTAGTGGCCAAATTCACGGCGTATTTTGCTGGAGAAGTGTGCAGATAGGAATCAAAGTTAGGAGTTTCGTACAGTAGTAGGTGAGACTGAACATGGGATGTAGGATCAGGATCCTGCGTAGAAATGATCCAGTTTCCCTCTTGCAATCATACTTGATATGCCTGAGAAATAGTAGTTGCCAGAGTACAAGCAAACAGGATCATTAGCCAAGTCGGCATCAGCAGTGAACTTCTAGTATGAGCTGGCTTGAACAAGCATATAGGTGAATGCCGGAGTCCAGATCATGCATGAACACCACCAGCGTCAACGACAATTGCGGGACCAGGCGTTGTATGATGGGAGACGAAGAGTACCTGAAAGCTACTGATACAATCAATTAGTACACTTGAAGAAATAAAGCCCATTTTTGTTATGATAAGACATATTACCCTACATGTTACTCAGCCTGATTGACGAGGCAAATTCAACTTTTGACCATTAGCAGTCTACTTGGATTTAAAATTGTGCCTACAGTGAACCACATCTTTTGATAATAGGACGGGTGGCTGGCTATCTCTTCCACATCTGCCTGAAAAAGAGTGTGTAGCTACCATTCCAAAAATAATAAAATACTAGTACATATACTATGACTGTGCTTGTCATATCGCGTTGGGAGCCCAAATTTCATAAGCATATCTTTTAAATTGCCATATTAACCACCATATTTCTTTAAAGTTACATTTTTTCAAAACACTGACGCTAGATGCTCATATGTATGTCACATTCATCTCTATGAATGTAGAGATGAATGTACGTGCACATGCTATTCTTATGAGTATAAGACTACTAGTAGATTGGATTGATATATTTCAAAATTGACGAAGTCACCATGCTTTGAGTGTCTCACCGTCGACGGATAGCGCCATTAAAAAGTTAAATCTTTAAATAAATCCAAAAAAATATACGAGCAAATATTCCACCATGACGAACCTAACTAGCTAAGCTTTGTGGTGAATTGTCAGAGGAAAAACAGGTAAATTGTTATCCAATGATGCATCTCCCTTTGATCATAGGCACAATCGATATCTATATTTTCTTCCTTCAGTCTCTCCCGAGTTTTTCTATCCATCCATTCACTCAGAGCATAATTGTCATGTCCGGTTTTATTAAAAGTAGTACCATATAATGAATTGGGGATAAGAATCTTAATTAGTGTCTATTCCGTGACTCGAACTCATCATATGTTTATAGGAGTTAGAATAGCATGCATTCAGTCAAGGTACGTAGTCCGATTCCAAGATATATTAGAAAAGATGATGTAAGTTGTGCATTCTGTTACAACGTATAAAATCGATTACACCCTTCAATTCCCCCTGCCACTTCACGCCATCTGCTAGCCAACAAGCTTCAATAATCATATATGCCTACCCTCTCCTTCTGCGTCAAGATTCTAAACTTTTGGTCAGCAAGCTTCAGTAGTCCCAAGTCCCAAATAATACCTATCAGAACAGTGTCACTGGTTCATTTTGTGCTCCGTTGTAATAAACGACGATTTCCCTCCCAAATAACCCAAGAATGTGGCGATTCTCACTTGTCTTCGATAGGGAAAAAATGACGCCTTCCATAGTATCTGCATTCGGACTTGGGAATAACTGGACTGTTTTGACATGGCAGGCCTGATCCTTGGGTGGTTGCAAATGTAAGCATCCGAGGGCGTGAGCCTTGTTGCAGTTGGTTCTATGTGACTGACTGCATGAAACCGTATTCGTTGGGGAAAGCACCTCGTTCATGGGCCTGGGCGCCTGGCCATCGTATGCTGTATGGCAGCACCTGGGCAGCATCATTGATCCATCATTCTATGGCATTTTATTAGTTGCCGGACAGCCGGAGCAATGATATGGTGGAGGAAAATGACGTTTTCTTTTTAAAAAATGACAGGAGTGCTGCCATGGTCATTTAAGAAGGAGAGCAAGCGGAGAGTTTACACTGTTACAAACTTTACAATACAAAACAAGTAGGAGTACACGCAGAGCGCGAGGAACAATAGCAAATCATTGTGTAATAATAAGTAAATAGTCACACGTCAGGCTTCTAAATGGTATTCTCTCTCTGGAGCAGAGCTACTGTATGTACAAACTAGAGGGTGCGGGTGCCCTATGACGTCACTGGTGGGCCAAATACATTCGAAAGTGTTATTGATGTCATCTTAGCCCTCCCTTATTGTGAAAATGTGTCATGATTTTCATTGACGATATCCTTATTTATAAAAAGACTTGGTTTGATCACCTTTTCCACATTCAAGATGTTTTCACCGTTCTCCAACAACATTTATTCCAAGTGAAATTATCCAAATGTTCTTTTGCTCAAGCAGAGCTAAGTTACTTGGGACATATCATCAATGCTAAATAGGTGTCCACTGGTCCAAGGAAGGTCAAAATTATTCAAGAGTGCCCACAACCATCATCCATTCAAGACATCAGAAGCCTGCTTGGTATGGCAAGCTATTACAGAAGGTTTGTTCAGCATTTGTCCCCACCACTAAGCTTATGGCAACGCAATAGTCATTTCAAGCTCTTAAGCAAGCTCTGATCACAACACCTGTGTTGGCTATATGCTGAATTTCTCCAAACAATTCATTGTTGAAACTAATGCTTTTGTGGGTCATCCTTAAACAGGATGGTGGACCACCCCTTTGCCTATGTCAGCAAAACTCTAGGTCCTAAGGATCAAGGACTTTTCACATATGCAAAGGAATGCTTGGCGATTTTGTTGGTTGTGGATCACTAAAGACCTTACTTGCAACACTACGCTTTCATCGTTAATTAAAACTAACCAGATCCATTTGGACGATCAACGTTTGTCAACACCTTGGCAACATAAGGCTCTCACTAAGCTATTTTTGACCGAATCAGCAGGCCTGCCTATATATTATTTTTCCTTTTCAATTGAACGAAAGAATAAAAAGTACAGGTTAAGTTACAAGGCAACTAGGCCTAAGAAAAAAGAGAAAATTACATCATATATAGCTATCTCTCCACAAATTGAGTTGGGCTTGTCTAGCTGGCTTGGCTTTGGTACACACATAGCCAAGTTCTACCTTGAATTGTCTCTTCTATGCATTGATTCTACTCTATTCATTGTTGAAAATAACTCCATTTCTGGTCAAAAACTTCTCTGAATATGCTGCTCCCAAATGCTTCTCTTGCTTCTATTACCATGTCCAGTGGCTGTAAGTTCAGATTCCAGCTAATAGGAATCATGTTCCAGCAGGATTGACTGAAGGGACATTCGAAGAAGAGATGTGTTGGTGCAGAAAGTGACCAACAAGTAAATATTTGTAGTTTTGTCGTACGTTGTGATCGGAGGTGGCCTAGCACTCAATGATACAGGGTTTATACTGGTTCAGGTAACGTGCCCTACGTCCAGTTTGCAGTGGGGTTACAAACAAGAAGGAGAGAGACGGGGGGTAC